GGGCTGATGTTCGAGTCAGACACTTACATTTGCTCAGGGTTTATCCATGTTACTAGAGGCTTTATCTGTGATGTGACTACTGTCAAAGAATGCCACAGGCAGGTGGCATTCAAGCTCAGAGCCACATGGAAACAAGCTTACTGGTGCCCTTGACAGTGGTATCCACCCATAAAGGCAGTGAACAGTCAGCTCAGGGTGCTGCTGCAAAAAATGTTCACTACATAGAACACTGAATACACTGTCACATTTTATGTTTTCTTTTTTTTTTTTTTTTTTAAAGATTTTTATTGGTGAATTGGGGGGATGGGAACAGTGCTGGGGAATTGGGGGAAGGGGGACAGACAAGTTGCTGTCGTTTTTTGTTCTTCAGTCTAGTTGTGGAGGACGTTGCTTCACTGGCCCAAGTTGGCACCCTCATTGCGCTCCTCCCAGGCGAGGCAGATCAGTCGCCGGCTTCTGGACGGCCGCTCACTGCGGCTGCTGGCCGCTCACACTGGCTGCTGGCTACACACGGCAGCCCATGGCAACCCACTGCCACATGGACTGCAGCCCACGCCGTCGCCGGCGACTCACAGCAGCCCAGCTCCAGGTTGAGCCGTTGTTCAGCATCTTAGCTGTAGAGGGCAGTGTCACTGGCCCTCATATGTGGGATCCGAACCGGGGCCCTCTGGCATCCCAAGCGAGTTCTTAACCATCGCGCCACTCGGCCGGCCCACATTTTATGTTTTCTATGTAAATATATCTATAGTTCATATTTTATATACTAGCATGTAATAAATAATCATCTTCAATACATATTAATTCATACTAAATATGTCAAGTAGAAATGACAGTTCAGCTAAAGGAAATACTACCAAAGACAGGTCTCGAGAGCCAAGGAAATGACATGGATAATTTCACACCAGGATTTGAACTCTGAGGTGTTATTAAGAAACTTGCTTCCTATGTCTCCAGGTCTTACCTCCAAAACACTAGAGCCAGGCTTACAGGATGTGCTACTGACATCTGAATCGGAGCTTGCCCAACAGGGATATTTTTCAGGTTTTGGTTTTCTCATTCCACAGTTTATATCTGATGGCAGCAACAGGTGTATGGAAAAGGAAATGAGATCCAAAAGGGTGAAGGCCACTTCCTCCTTCTGTCTTGCACTCTGGCTCGACTGGCAGCCTGATTACAAGCCCGCTGGCATGTGCACTTGGACGACCATCCCAGCTGTCCTGAAACTTGGCCTCGTGTCACTCTTGGGCAGGTGTTTGGCTCAGTGTTGCTGTTAAGGCCCAACCTAGACTCATCGTTAGCAAGGGATCCAAGGACAATATTCCCAAGGAATGCTGGGTAGTATTCTGGCACTTACTATGAGCTGGGTAAACAGTGGATAACACTGCCTTCCTCTGTTCCACAGGCTGGAGAGGGAAATGACTATCTAACGAGCCCAAACAAATGCAGATTATAAAATGTGATTTGTAAAAGGCCTAAAAGAAAAACAAGGAGAACGTAATCTGAACTGGAAAAGTTTGGAAGGGCTTTTCTGGAAAACACTGAATCTAAACCCTCAAAGACAGAACCAATAAGGCATAGAATATGGGGAAAGGAATTTCAGGTAGGGCAAACAGATCTGCAAGGGACCTTTTGTGGGGTGGGGCAGGGAAATGGGTCTTTAAACAAATTGAAAGAAGGCCATGGTGAGAATGGTGTGAAGGTGGTGGTGGGGAGGGGGGAGTGGTGACAGAAAGGCACGTGACAGTTAAGGAATTTAGATTTATATAAAATACAGTGGAACACAAACCAGAGTGATATGATCTAACTTACGTTTTATTAAAAATCACCCCGGCTGCTGTGAAGAGAATGGGCGGAAAGGAATCAAATGAAAACAGGACTAAAGAACAGATTTTGATGACTCAGAAGAGAATGCTTTAATGGAGATGCAGCAAAGTTGAAGTAACTGAGAAATATTTTCATAATTGATTGGATGTGGGAGTGATGGAGAAAGAAGTATCAGCTCTACTTCCAGGTTTCTGTTTGGACACCTAGGTGGACTGAGAGGCTATTTTCTAGACTGGGAAAACTAGAGAAAGCATAGGATGGGGGTGGGGGTGGGGGGAATGTGTGGAAAGCAAGGGGAAGGATAAGATCAGAGTTCAGTTACGGGACATTCAGTTGGCAATACCTGTGAAATATCGGAGTGGAGATGTCAGGTAGGCCACAGGATATGAGTCAGAAGTTCAGAAAGGGGTTGTGGGCTAAAGACAAACATTTGATAGACACCAGCACATACAGGTTATTGGAAGCCATGGGTATAAAAGAATGCAAGGATACAAGAGAAGAAGGTTCAGATGAGAGATGAACACTCTTAACAACTGGTTCAATAGAGACAGAGGAACAAGCAAAGGGAACTGAGGTAAAAATGCCAGAGGGATAAGTAAGAGAAGAGAAAGAAAACCAGGAGAGTACATGGAGGCAAAGGGGTGGTGGGGGCCAGGAAGTGCCAAGAAAAAGAGCTGTCCCCTGTCCTGAGTGCTCCTCAGGAGTCTGATCATAAGAGGACTGAAAAGCACCCCGTGGGTTAGGCAGCACCTAGGTAGGTCTTCAGTCATCTTAACAAGAGCAAAGCTGATGGTGTGTTGGGAGCCTAAGCCAATCGGGATGGGAGGAATGGTTAATGGGGAACAGAGGAAGAGGACACACAGTGTGCTAAGAAAACTATTTGAAATGTTTGGCTATGCTGAAGAGAAGCGAAATAAGGTAGTAGTTGGAAGACAGTTTATTTTTAAATAATAATTTTAAAAAATAATAATGTTGGCATGCTGACAGTAAGGGTCCAATAAAGAGGAAGAAGTTGTGAGGAGACGGATACAGAAGGACTGAAGACCTTGAGATGGTAGGAAGGCATGAGGCCCAGAGCACATCCAAAGGCATTGGTCTTTGAGGGGAAGAAAGAATCTTCCTTAGTTGTGAAGAGATGGATGTTTCTAACTTCTCCATGAAGTAGGTGCTGATATCATCTCAGAGCCAGTGGGAAGAAAGAGGACCAAAGGTTGGAATAGAAGGAAGTTATGAAATAGCCATGTCGTAAAATGGTAGAATAAGCTCATTTGAGAAACACAGTAATGCTGCCAAGCAGGACTGAGTTTGGTTGTCAAGAATATGTTGTAACACCATCTAGTCCAGTCAGTTTCCACTTCCCTCAGCCTCCCCTGGAATTCCCCACCCAGAGCAAGTTTCTGCCATTTTTTGCACCATGTGATGACAGACAATAATCCCACCTTCCAAGAACAACTAATCCCCTAACAGCTGCATGAGCTGATCCTATATTTCAGGCCTCCACTGTCCCCTATGCACAGCCTCTATCAAGCCACCAAAACAATAGTAGGCAGGATGGAGGTCACCTCCTTGCTTGTTTCTGCCATGTTCCTAGAGTCCCTCCTCTATATGAGGTCTGGAGCACATAACACAACTTTCCCTGGGAAGTGAGAGTTAGCATTGACTTGACTTGCTTCTGTGTAGAATGACAGATAGACAAATAGAATTTGTAGGCGATGCTATGTGTGGGCTATACACAGATACGTAACTACATGGATGGGGAAAGCAGAAAGATTCACCGGAAACATGAAACGCCATTCCTATTCCCCCCAAGTTTTCCAGAATGACATAAACAGTAAAATGCTGATTAGTCCCAAGACAAAGACATAGGGTGCCTCCAATGAAAGATTCTAGCTCTTTCAGTGCAGAATCTTTGAAAAGCATAATACTCCCGTATTGCAGAACTAGACAATCAACCCTTTGATTTGCTTTTGAGTTTTTAAAGAAAAATGTACCTATTACCCAAATGGGTTCTTTACTATTTCAAAGTCTGGGGCTAGAAGGAACATACATAAAATTTAATATGAAAAAGCTGTGCAGTTTAATCTTGACAAGCAGACAACCAAGAAATTGATGTGTAGCTTTTAATCTAACTTCAATTTCTGACAATATATTTTTGAGCTCATTCTCTGGCACCAAGATCAAATGCCATTTTTTATAGGTCTCAAACAAAGAGGAGCCTATAAAAAGGAAGCCACATCCAACAGAAACCCTTTCCACTTATTACCCCTAGAACTTACTCAACCCGCCATTTTTTTTTCTTTTTCTCAGCTTAGTAGAAAACCTGGTGAGCAAGAAAGAACGTGTTAAAGCTCATTTTGCTTTTTCCTTCCAAAACTGGAACTTTATTTTTTAGTTTAGGCTTAGTTCAACTGTAACTCACTTAGAGAGTGAGAGGAGAGTAAGTAAAATATTCTCCAGAGAAAATAAATGACAAACAAAAAAACGCAACTATCATATCACCCTGGATTCTAAAAACTGCAAGTAATTTTTCATACTTTTCCTAGTAGATATCAGCGAACATTCAGATTGTGGTCTGAAATGTATAAGTGAAACCTTTTCCAAGTAAGTTTCAACTGTGTTTCACAAGCACTTTTCACTTGGCAGTGTGTGAAGAACCCCTGAACACTGCAACGCATTTTTCAAAGAGCAGCGCACTTGCATTGAAGACCATGGCAAGGCAAGACAGGTGAGATGAATGCTACCCATTCATCTTTTTAATAAACAGAAAAATGAAAAGAAATGAGGCAACCATGTTTGCATATGCTTAAGCCACCCCTACAAGAAACCAATGGTGGTAAAGAAGTTCAGTATATTCAAAAAACCTCTTTAAAAACTGCAGTGGAATCAGAAGAGCAGAAAGGCTGATGAAAAAAGCAATTCACTCATCTCAAGAAAGAAAAGCTGCCATGAATATCAGCTTGAAATTATACAGGCTCTACATTCCCAGCATCAGCTGCTCAGGACCTGACGGCTCTCACCTGGTGACAACTTACCTCATCTTAAGACTTTTCTCTAGTGCCGCTGTCTCCAGGAATAGGACACACAAATCCAAAATCACAGCACAACATTTAGATTCAATCAAATACGACCATTCTTTTGCCCATAAAAATTGCATTCAGATAGAATTTTCTTTTTACCTTGGTCTTTTCACCAACAATGTTCTTTTCCAGTTCTGCTATCTTTCGGTTTAGATGATCCAAAATCTCCTTCTCTTTCATGAGTTCAGTTGTTTCGGATTTCTGCTCTCCATCCAAAAGAGCACATTCCATATCCAACTGAGGAGACAAAACAAAGCTCAGAGGAGTTTCACTTTCAGGGAAATTCTCAGTTGTGTACTTTGGAGGTGCATTTTTAACAGCTACAAATTTCAAAAAGTACTACTATTATCAGCTAGATCGTGGGGTCTATAGAACATTCCAGAGAGCCCACAGAAGACTCAGAATTCCTATATAAGAAAGCTGGAGAGGCCAGAGTATATTTGCTAAGAAAACTAGTTATCTTATCCTTTGATTTTTCTATAATAACCCCTTTTCTGCTCACTTTTCAAGGATATTTTGCCCAATTGCTTAGATTCAGGCTCAAGCATGAACCATCTTGGAAGCAGCCACGTCTTTCTTTGTTTGCCCCTAGAGCATGGGAAATGAAAATTAACCTCAGCCTAGCATGCAAGCACGGCATTCCTAGCAATGCCAGCTGGAGGGGTTTCCAGGGTTTGCGCATAAACTGACAGGTGAACAGTCCCTTCCCACTTACGGGGCTATCTGCATCATCTGTGAGTATAAACGCATAGATCCCACCTACCCAGAATTATCTGCTCATTCTCACTCCATGAAGGTGATATAAAAATTGCCCCTCTTTTCAGTTACAGTTATAATTCTATAACTAGAGTTATAGTCTGAGTCTGTCTTCTCGGTTTGCAAACTTCTAGAAAGCTAGGTCTATGTTTGATTCACAAGTAAATTCCCCTCTAGTACCAACATGATATCCAACTCACAGTAAGCATGCTCAGAAAATGTTTGTTGGATTTGAATGTGAACACCTAATTCATGGTACCTCAGCTAACAGATCTTGTAGCAAGTCAGAAAGCATATACAGTAAATCCTCACTAGCATCGTCGAAAGGCTCTTGGAACTGCAATGAAACAACGTATAACGAAATCAATTTTACCACAGGCTAATTGGTACTCATATAAACAAGAGATAAGTTCCTATGGTATCTCGTCAGTATTAGAATAAAATGATGTTAGAACAAAATGACGTTATTTGAGGACCTGATGTACTGGTTAAGACAAAGTCAGTTAGTTATACATACATTAAAAATGGCTTAATATGTTTATCTATTCTTATTTTTTTTAAAAAAAGGAATAAAAGAAATGTAAAAAAAGGCATTTTCACCCTGAACATGTACCCATTAAAAAAAATGTTTGCCCATATTGACTTCTATGTATTGTTTCCAGTGCCTGTGCCCTAATGGGCAGCAATATTTTTAAACTAAAGCAAAGAAAGAAAAAAAAGAGAGGGTAAAAAATGAACTTGTGGCATATACCTCTCTGGAAGATTCATCCATCTGGTCATTTATGTCTTTGATTTTTTGTTCAAGTTCCTCCAGGTTGTTCAGAATTGCTATCCGGGTCTCTTCCATGGCAGTCAGCTCCTGAATCCTTTGTTCTTCACTTATACCCTCTGGGGTCTGTGGTTAATGGACACAGAAAAGAGCTATTCACACGTCAATTCCAGAATGTCCCAATTTGTACACCAGCCACAGGTCTAATGTTTTAGTCCCTGTGCCTATTTGAATTCTAAAAGCATCCCTATGATAGTGTATTTGGAACTCTGCATTTTCCCACAGATACTTATAAATTCCTATCTTTTAAAAGCTTAAATAACTAAGCGGTTTTTTCAATGAGGAAGCTGTCACCCACATAAATTGTAGTGGCTTCTCTAAGTTTATAGAGACCACTCAGAACAGCAGAAAGCTAGAATCTAGACAAGACTTTGCCATCTTCCTCAGGAACCTCTTGGGTATGCTGCTCTACCATCATCACAAGCTCTGTATCTTTCCATCTCCAGGTGAGTACCTCTACAATAGCCTCTGAAACCTGTAGCCATACACTTGGTCCCACTGCTAGGGTGATCTACAAATGAGCTTTCATGTGTATTTCATTTTCAACACAAGGTGGGAAAAAAGCAAGGGCACATCACACTTGGCCAAATTTCACTGAAATGTTCCACAAAAATTAATAATCAGAATGAAACAGGCTTAATTACCTTGGTGACCCCTCTCACCCCCAAAAATATTTTAAAAATATACAATATTAAGTTAATTCATATTTCACTTTTTGGGTTAGCATACTACTTACTATCTTTATTCTATAGAGAACCTTCCTCCTATATAATGTTTAAGATACTAACTGGGCCAATGGCCTTTTGTGACATAGTGAAATGAGACCCTGGTCACCATTCATAAATTTTATAGAAAAACAGTTCCTTGGCAAGAAATGAAAAAGTCAAGAAAGAAATTGAGAGAGGGCATACTTACATCCCTGAATAGAGTTATGACAAATGCTCCAGGAAGAAAGAAATATTGATCATACACACAGCCAAAATGTGACCACCCATGATTTTAAGAAGAGAATATAGTGCATTGAAAATAGTCTCTTCATTCAAGAATTTCAGGTTGATTATCTTGTATATCATGAGGCAGAGACCCATTTTTCTGTATCTCAAGGAATGCCAGTATATTTAAGTTTTATGTCTCTTAGAAAAAGAAGTAATTTCTTTGCATCATTAAGTCAATAATTATACAATTTCACAACCGGAAATTGAAAATGGCAGCTTGGACATGTAAATTATTGAAGATTACTTACTAATCATTAAAAAGGATATTCAAATTAACCAAAAAAAACCACATTAAAATTTAGTGTAGCTCACTAAGTTCATTTAATGTATTTAATAATCCTGAAAATAACATTAAGAAGTTAGGTATCATTCTTTATTCTTTACCCTACTTTGCCGCCCTTTAAGGAGATTAAATGAGTGAGAAGTATCTCAGGTTGATTAAAACAAAGGTATGCAGGACTTTCAAGTTTTGACATTTAGATTCTTGTCACCTAAAATCTGTATCTTATCGACTAGTAAAACAACTGCTGTCCATTTCATGACAGACAATGAATCTCATTGTCCTAATACTCGGTGCCTGTTTTAGGGCCTGAGGAATGCCTGTAACATTGAATGGCATTCTGAAATCACTGACTGAGTAATCCTAGCAGGAAAGCCTTAAGAAGGCTGGTATCCTGTTGGGTCAATGTTTCCTATTAGGTTTCAACTTCCAACATGGTTTAAAAATATCTCTCTCATGGGTGGAAGCAAATCATTAAAAGAAAACAAAAACTGAACAATCTGCAAAACTATACAGATAGGTGATAGTGGCAATTATAAGTATCTGCGTAACTCAATGTTTTGAGAAAATCTATCACAATAGTTATATTTAATAACAGACAACTTGAGAGGTTGTTTATAGCAATTAATGCTATCTAAGGAATGACTGTTGTTTTTTTTTACTGTTATTTATAAAAAGCGAAATCTTCAGAATGCATTCTAAACCTTTGATTTGTGATAGAACTGGGTGAAGATAATATAATCTCATTTATGTCCAAATAAAAAAAAAAAAACAGTAGAGAGCCAAGGGTGTGGCGGCCACTAAATAGCTTTAGTTTTATGGTGACAAAGAAAGCTTTAATTTTACTATTTCAGATATATTTTTATTGTAATAATTAGGATTTCACTGAGAGTGACCTGTTTTAATAAGCCCTTTACACGTGTATGTACTTCCCCAAATCTGCCATCTTTCAGGCAATTTGCTCCACACAGAGAAAGGGTAGAGAGAATAGGGACAAGACACTTGCTATCTGCTCCGTTTTTTCGTAGATTTCGTCTTAGAAACCTCTTGCAACCAGAGGAGGTGGCAAGTGTGAGGGCTTTGCACTGTAGCCATTCTGTCTACTCAAAAAGAGAAGAGTGAAAAAGTTCTCATTATAAGAAAAAATATTTTTTTTGTAACTATATGAGGTAATGAATGTTAGCTAAGTTTACTGTGGTAACCATTTTGCAACATATGTAAGTCCCGTCATTATGTTGCACACCTTAAACTTATACAGTGCTTATACCAATTCTATCTCAATAAAACTGCAAGAAAAAGAAGAGAAGAGTGAACTCTTCTCAGCGTTCACCTTAGGTGGTGGTAGACAGGTTGACAAAAGCTAATGAAAATGAACATATTTCCAAGGTCACCTGCATCTTTAAGAGTTAGGTAAAGCAAGCTCCAGAATGGTACATGTCTGGCTTCTTAAATATGAAAACCTTTGTTTCGTAAATCTGCGTAGAATATTTTACACATTCCTGTGTTCTCCAATGACCTTTAAACGGATTCATAACAACACTGTACTTTGTTACGTAAATAATTCAGTGAGCAGATTACTCAAGGAAGAATAGATCTAGAACAAATGGTTAGGGTTTTGTTGTTGTTGTTGTTGTTTTGTTTTGTTTTTTAAGATTCTTTTATCTCCTGTCTTGATGTAATTAATCTATGTCTGTCTTCAAAAAATTAAATGAAAAGCTTATTCCCTGGAACCCATCGCCAGCTCACTTGCATTTTGTCTGAGCTGCAGTGTGATAACCAGAGGTGCCCTTGACAGTTCCCATCTCTCAAGGAGGCACAGTCTTACATCTTGCCACAGGGATGCTGCTGCAAGCTTCGGAGAACTCCTATTCCAAAACTGCAAATTTGAGCAATGAACAACATCTGTCATGCTCTGCTCACTTACACACCAACAGCTTTCTTGTCACAGCCCTCTTCAGGAGGAAACCTGTCTCCAAAATGATAGTCCTTAGAGAGAGCACACAGCTGACTGTCTTAACAAAATCTAGCAGATTCTTCATGAAGGGAGTAATGTGCAAGATTGAAGGTAAAAAGGTAGTGAAGAATTTCTGATGACAACAGGTCAAATTTTCAAATGATGGGTCATTTACTTTGCCTGAACATCAACAATGCTGGATTTCTCCCTGCCACCCCCCCCC